CACTTGACTTGTTAACTTAAGCACGTCGGAGTCAAGATCAGCCTTCTCGGTTTTCAAAGTCTCAATTTCACTCTGAGCGATCGTGAGTTGTTGATCTTGCTCAGCAACCTTCGCCTTCAATTCCTTCTCTTTGGCTGCCGCTTCTTCTTTCAAAGATGCAAGAGCTCCATCTCTGAGTTCTAAGTATGTTTCTTCTCATCCACTTGCGCTGTTCTAAGTATGTTTCTTCTCATCCACTTGCGCTGCATTTAGTCAGAAATCGTCCTCGGCCATCGCCAAACTAACTAAAGCTCGGCCAAGACAATCTTTCGCGTATCTGAATTTATAAGTACTTGGCAAAGAAGACACGCCGATCTCCAACCTCGGATCCCACACCATCATAGGGACCCGAGCAGCATCAACAACATGGCTTAGCAGTTCGACTGTACTCGATATCTCGGGAATCTCCACTGATTTAAAAGCCGAGAACCATTTCTCGACCAACTCCCGAGGCTGCCTAAAATTTAAAGCCATTTCCTCATCAATGGGCAAGAAAGACCGATCAACCAAAGGCTCCTTCTTCTTTTTCTCTCGTTCACCGACGTCATGTTTTTTCTTCGATCGTCCTTCAACGACTGGGACGCTTTCCGCACGTCTTTTTCTCTGCCGAGTTAGCGGAACCTCCTGCTCCTCAATCGCTTCTCGGTTACCCTCGGGCTCATCAGAGACAGCTTCAACAATAAGTGGGGCCTCAGATGGAGCAACCTCAACGACTGGTTCAACTCCAGATGAACCACTAATAGCAGCAGCAATGGTGGCAATCGGACCAGCCGCTGCTATCGCTAATGGATTTGGTTGTGTAACGTCAGCAGCAGCCACCGACGTCGCACCATCCCCGACGTCGATTTCCTTTGAATTCATAATCGGGTTTGCCAAAAAGGCCTTTACCAGTTTCTTGCGACCCATCCCCGACGAAGTTCTTTACTTTTTTCCGACTTTAGTTCGAAGGTCTAGATTCGGACACTTTTGACGGAAAGCTTTGGCGTCGCGAATGGTCTTGAACCCGAGTACTCCGAGAAGCGGATAGTAAACTGCAAACAAAGAAATCCGAGTTATAATAATTCTCAACGGTAACCGACTTCAAGTAAGATGAAAATTTATGACTTAAACATACCTGGTTGAAAACAAGGATCCAAGATCTCAGTACAAAGGCCAACTGCTTTCAACCTTGTATCCTTCAAAACCAATTTGAAGCTACGTTGTTCTTTCTTCAACTTAAAGAGTTCTATAATCCTTCCTTTCAATTCTGCACCGAGTTTTGGTTCCTTTCTTCGGGCTGCAAATAGTAAAATTGCTGACCTGTTAGTACAAAAATAAAGTTAAGTCAGGACAACTCGGTACAAGAAATGTTGAAGAAACTTACAACATGCAGAATTAATTTCGATGGGTATTGACATCCCATCGATTATGGGTTTAGAAAAATTTGGAGTCTGCCAGTCTCCGCCGACCCAAAGCCACTCCTCCTGAAACCCGTGAAGAGAATCTGGGATCTCGGTAATTAAATCACCGACTTTTAATCCACCTTGTGGCCTCCCCGCGCAAGCGTAACAAATTAATGGGTCGGCCACTTGCCTGTCGGCACATCTTCTAAACGTGAAGAGGATCCTTATCTCTTCAACCGTTGGCATATCCCAATCTTTTTCCTTCAATAGCACCATAAGGCCGATGATTCTCTTCCATGTATTTGGTGCTATTTGACATAAACCAAATCCACAATCTCTTAAATAGTCGGTAATCAAAGCGGGGAGTAGAAATCGCAATCCTGACCTTAGCGAATCAGCAAAAACGCCCACACAGCCTGGCGGAGGGCAAGTTATCCTTTCACCCGGATAAGGAGCAAATAGTCTTACCGAGGAAGGGATATAAACTTCCCCCCGAAGCATGACAATATCCTCATCCGTTAAGATACTTGGTTCACCCCTATACTCATCAATCGGTTCAGGCCACCGACGTGCAGGACGCCTCTAATAATCGGGAAGAGACATGGCATTTTCTTCAACCGACTTGTCCTCCTCAATTATGTCCCTATTCAAATTCAGCCTTTGAACAAGAATGGGATCCCACCGATAATACTCAAGAGGCAATTCCAAATCCTCATCGGTAAAAATCCTAGTCTCCGAAATTGTACGGCTACTGCTATCTTCAGCATGAGAAGTCATCTTTTCGAGACCGATGAAAAAATAAAAACGAATTCGAAATTGGCGAGCACGAAAATATAAAAATATTATGGCAAAATCTTACCAAAACTCTCAAAGCCCTGAATTGAAGAAGATGCAGAAAGATCACGCAAATTGCACGAGATGGAAATAGAAAGACAAATTCGAGGAAGTTTGAATGCAAAGATGAAAGCAAAGAATACGAAGATTAAAGGTAAAGAAACTCTTCACAAATCAAAACCGACTGCAATTTATAGGTATTGATTTATAACCGTTGGCCAAACCCGAGATTGGCGCGTGTAACGGACGTGTCCCCAAATGGTGCAACGTTACAGTAATGATTAATACACGTGGGCAAATCTTGAAACGCCATGTCGCTTAAAAATTCCATCCGTTGGACCCATTAAATGCGGACGTGTCTTTTAAGAACTGCCACGTCAAATCAAACGATACACAACCGTCGAAAACACAGTTGGTGACAAAACAAAGTGTTCTTATGTCGGTCACAAAACAACCAAGTCGGCATTACAAAAGATAATAACGACATCAGCAGCCATTTAAGGAAAAGTTCAAATACCAACTAATGTCGGGGGCCTCTCTGTTGATGACCAGCTTGGTTTCATGAGATTAAGTTGACGGTTAACTGCCTTGTTCAATTAATGATCCTCCAGAAATAGCTGAACTCAGCTCAAGTCGGAATCAGCTGAATTAATTACCGACTTCCAAGATGGTCGAAAGTAGAACCGATTATTTAAAAGGATTCGATGACCGACTTCACCGACATCGTGACTCTGTATCAAAAATTCTTCATTCAACTGATATCCGAGGAAATCAAATATCCAAGCAGATGGTGTTGTACACATTCATTTGGACCACCAAAACAAGAGGCAACCATTGGTGTTCCCTAAATCCATTACACACCGCTTTATTGAAGCTGCCTAACATTAAATGCGATCTTATCTACCTCAGACAAAAAGATAAAAACGAACGTACTATAAATAGCAGAATTTATGGTTGTACGAGGATCTTTTTTCGCACATTGTACAAGGACTTAAAATGATCTCGGTCAAGAACGAAAAACCGACTTCCTGTACTCTTGTGAACTTATCAATAAAACGCAATTTTACATTTATCCTTGTTTAAACACACCTTGTTGTTTGTGATTTTGAGTTGTTAATTTCATACAATAACAAAAGTGATACCATGCACCGTAATGTAGGACGAATTGCACGCTAATAATTGATAGATTGCACATAATATGGTTAACCGAGTAACCAATTATATATGTTCAGTTTCAATTTGATTTAGGACAACAGTTCGTTCATTCAATCTGCATGTAAACCGACACCATGCACCGTAATGTTGGACGAATTGCACGCTAATAATTGATAGATTGTACATTATATTTTATTTACATATATATTTTTTTTAACGAACTATAATATTAAATTAAAAATAATACAGACTAAACATATTTTTAGAATAAATAATATAATTTATACGGTTATTTTGATTATCTATGTTAACTAACAAATTAAACCGATTATGTCAAAATTTTCAGTTCTAAAATTTATTTTTCGTTTTGATTATTTATTTTTATTTTTAAAGCGCATATCTATAGGCAAATAATGGGAAAATCATTTATCCAAAAAATGGCCTATTTATCAATTTTTTTTTTAATAACTTCGTATATATATGACAATATTTTTTAAATGCACATCTAGACACAATATTGTGCATCTAATGAGTTCAGCCATTATTGTGAATACATTAATCTATTAAATTATAAATTTCCCTTAAGTAATAAACCATACGCATATTAAAAGATCAAAAATTGCAAAATAGTCCCCTAACTATATCTAATTTCCCAAAAAATAAGTTCAGCCCAAAACAGTGAAACACACATTCCTTGCTCAACCTCAGACTCGATCCGCTCAATACCAGCCCCAATTTTGCCCAAATCTCATTTATGAAATCAGTTCTATGAAAAATCACCAGATCCATTCAACAATCGAAAATTCCACGAGACGCAATACCTAACAAACAAGAAAAATATTTTCTGATTTGCTCTTCATGAAACTTCCGGCCGATCAAAATACAAGATACACATACAAGGTGCTCTTCATGAAACTTCTGGCCGATTTATGAAATCAGTTCTTTTATGTGCAATAACCGAAGCCCACAGCTTGTTTGAGGTAAGATTTGTAACGGTTTCTTGATTATTTGGGAATTTGTAACCACGATGAAGGCCAGCACAGCAGAGCCGCGGAGGCACGACCGGAGTCATCTCCTGCATTACGGCACTCTCTGGCGGGCGACGGAGGAACGGTGGAGACACGCCAGAGGTACAGCGGAGGCCGACTGAGGTGCGGCGGAAATCGGCAGAGGCACGGCGGCAGTCTCCGGCGGGCTGGGCTTGGGTGTGTGTGTGCGCGTGCGCTGAGAGTGTGCTTGTGTTTGTGTGTGTTTGTGTGGTATAAATATTTGGGTTGGTCGGTTGGTGTGTAATGACTAGTTTTGCCACAATGTATGTTAATTTACCATAATACCATTAATGGTTGACCAAATTTTGACTTAATCATGACCACTGATATTATGTATCCAATGCTCCAGATTTATTCTTATTTCTTTCATTATCCCCCTTTCTAT